GAAGCAGTTCAAGGTTGGATGACATCAGAAGGGCATAAAAGACAAATTATTAGTGAAGATTATATTTATTTTGGTGCAGCATTCAAAAATGATATTTGGGTGCAAGCATTCGGATATAAAAAATAATGTTTAATTGTAAACCCAAACTGATCATGTATTTTTTTTTGTTTTTTTATTTAATATAATAAATAAAATATAACTTATACTTAACCTCAAACATATTTAAATCGAGTTGAATTTTTAAAATTCGACATGTATGTTAATGCCATATAGATAAATTATCAATTGACAAAATAATCATCTTGAGAAAAAAGAAGCAATAAAATTTCCAAATTTTTGCCACATATCTTCATAATAATTTAAGAAATTATAACTATATTCAGTAAAACCAAATTGACAAGAAAGCAAAAAAAGAAATAAGATAAAAATTATAAGCAAAAAAATTTTTTGTAAATTTTGTCTTTCTTGTCTTGCTTGTTGTCTTTCTTCCCTAGCTTCTTGTCTAGCTTGTTGTCTTTCTTCGTTAGCATGTTCTCTTTCTTCTTTAACATATTGTCTTTCTGCTTCAATTTGACTTTCTAATTTTTCGATTTGATTTTTTAATCCTTCATTTTCCTTTTGTAAATATTCATTTTCTTTTAATATTAATCTTATTTCGTTTTGAGATAGTTTTTGCTTTTTGTTTAAAAAATTTGCACGTTGAATTACAACTAAAAAAAAATATTTTAAGATTTATATTCATTTCATATTATAAATAAAATAAAAAAAAAATTAAATTAATTACAAAAAAAATAATTACAAATAAAATACGCAAATATGATAAATATATACAAATTTACAATAAATATAAAACAAAATAATAATTTATACAAGTTAAAAATACATATAAAATTAAATCTTAAAAACGCTGAAACTAATATTTAATTGGTCGAGTTCGCTATAGGCTTTCGGCCTGCGAACTCGACTGGCCCCCATGGCTTATATCCTACTATACTGACTGTACCCGACGCTCGCCGCTTGGCACACTTTCAGCGAAAGTGTCAAAGCTTTTTTTTTCCGCTGCAACATTTGTTACGATATGCCCTGACGCCTCGATGGCATGAATTTCGTCGCCTTTCAGGCCAC